AATCTAAAATGTTAATTGCATTATAAGTTTTAACTATATGAAGAATCAGTTAATTTTCTATAAAGTTTAATTTCCAGTCAAACCTAATTTAACTTACGTTTAATTGTTCAATATCAATTGTTTACTTTTTTTTTAATGCCTTAGCAATTAAAGATTTTAAACCAGTAGTTTTCAATGCTTTTTGAATTGAATCAGTGCTCAAATCCATAATCTTATATTCAAAATTATAAAGTAATATTTAGTAGCATATAAGTATACTCTAGAGTCAATATAGGTAGGTAATATATAAGTATTAATACTCCCAGTATTTATTATATTTTCATAAAATCATAGAATTAATTACAATAATAATCATTACTTATTTGTTGTAGTTTTATAAAATAACTTATCGATTTTCAGATAGTTAATAAAACAATTCATGAAAAAATCACGAAATAATTAAATAGTTTAATTCTTATGGCTTACCAATAAATTCGTTCCTGATTCTTATCCGGTCTCGAAGCTGAGGCGTTGATATAATGAGGCAGTTGATAAACGCCACAATAGCTGTTTGATAGTCTGCTGTTTCTTGGCCTTTGGATAAAGCCCATTGCAATTCACGAACGACGATTTGTAATCTGTACCTTTCATTTTTCTGGTCCTGTAAAGTGAAAATTGTTTTTAAATAACGTTTTCAACAATGAAATTATAATTAAGTTTATTATCTTGTATTCTTGTGCACAAGTACACATTTATATTATAAAAAATATATAGGTATAGGTTTATAAAATTGAAAAATATATGATTTTATATGATATCTTAGGAGTACATACTTATAATTACAAAGAGGAATAATGGCAGAAAATATAATTATATAGAAATTTTAATAAATAATATTAAACGATTATTAAATACTTTGATCAAGGTAATGGTTGCAATAATTATCAGTTTCTATAGTCTATTATATTTAACAGTTTTGACTTGATTACTCAGTGCTACATCGCAAATATGCAGTAGTTGTGCATAATGCATTAATGCTACTATAATAATAATAATAATAATCATTAATATATATATATATATATATATTTACAGGCAACCAAATATAGAATTAAACTACATTAATGGGATAACGAAAACAAGTTTATTGTAAAATGTATTACTGCACTTCAAGAGTCTTGTTAGTAATTTAAATGAGTCTCAATTCTTAGTTTCAAAGCATCAATAACTGATGATTTTTAATGAATGTTTAAATTGTAACAAAGTAGGTAGGTAGGCATTATACACAAATGAGTTGATACACCCATTAGCCATTTAAATAATGATTTTTTATGTACAAAATAATATTTAAGACGTCAGTTTGAAAAAAAATGTTCATAAAAGTACTTATCTATAAGTAACTTATTATATTTTAGAAATTTACAACATCCAGGCTATACATATTATATTATCGTGTGCAATAAAAATATTTACTTTTTTTATATATATATATTGGGGTTGATACATCGACAACAAGGGTCATTAACCTGTGGAACTGTGGGGTAGGCAACTGTTGGTTGGGCAATAAAACTATTATTACTTATTAGTATTTATATTATTTAAAATTACGAGTACAAGAGAACTTTATAAGAGCCGATTTAAAACATTTTTTTTACAATCAGAAAGCTATTTCAAGGATCTATATGTCATTATATACCTACTCTCGACAAGTGGCCCTTCATTTTTTTTTATTGAAACTTAAAGAATGTGTTATAGAACATGAACAAATAATAATAATTATTATTGTTTATTATATGTTTGCTATTGGTCACAAAAAATAAAATAATTATCATGATTAATTATTATTTCAGGCGTGTATTTTATATTATTTGATCAAAACCATCAAAATGAGTCTAGCCACAATCGCTAACACTAAATTATTAGATATAACATCAAGCGCTAACGTTTCATAATTTTGTTAATGAATAAATAATTTAAATGTTTTTATACTTTAATTTATATTATAAAGAAGAGATTAGCAGTTGGTTATTACTTTATGAAGTACCAATTTTAAAAACGTCACATATACTGCAAAGTTAAAATTGCGAGCAAAAAATAGTCATTATGATAGAATATAATTTTTGAACTGTATTTTAWATGTATATCGCTCTTTAACGGATATTAAAATGAAGTGAATCCACGAGAATTTGTCAAGGGAAGCTTTGAAGAACATCGCTACGTCGAGGTATTAAATTACGAATTGAACACATATTTTAAATTATATGTATAGAGCTAGTATTTTTAATGGGTGTAAATGTGCACGGGTGCGGGGGTCAGCTAGTAATATATATTCACATATATATAAGGAAATTAGCTTAATATGCAGATACTTATTTATAATTAATAATTATACTAAATAATGTTTAACAAAGTTAAGTAGGTATTAGTATAGGTATCTAACTATAAATTATAATCATATAAATTTACTATATTTAATATTATATAAACAACAGTAGCTAAATGGTTAATTATATATTATATATATATAATCGTGAGTGATATGCATTAAATTTTAAGATTATCTTAATATGATTGATTAATACACATATCCATTAATAAATTAGCCATTAAGAACTGAAACATCGATACTTTAGTTAAGCAAGGATAATAATTGTGGTTTACTTGCCTTGTAATGTTGAAGGGTATCAAGTGCTCTGGCATGGCCTTCTAAATTATATACACATAATGCAGACAGCAACTCCAATACTTGCTTTTTCACAGTAACATTGTTAGTGTCAAGAGCTGTAAAAGAAATTATTACACGATACAAAATAAATATCGATATTTGAAATTTGATAATTTAAATTTGTTCATGTTTATTTGATAGGTAGGGTAGACGTACCTACATTGCAATCTATATTGTTATGATGATTCCTATCAATTAAAGATTAATGGTATTTTTAATTATGTAGGATGACTTCAAGTAATCTTAAAATTTATGAGCCTTATTAATTTCACGAATAATAAACAACTAAACACTTCAAATTGGCAGTTACATTCCTATGCTATTTGAAAACGTGATATTTCGTTTTGGTATTGATTGCTTTCCATAATAGGATAAACCAATAATAATAAGTGACAGTTGACAGATTTACATTTTTTTAACATGCATTAAATGTTCAAAACCAATGTTTCTTCACTATTAATATAGGAGATTTTTTWAAATTAATTAGACAAAAATTAATTTTAAATCATATAGAAATATGCTCGTAACTTTTAAAATAACTATAATTTATAAGTAAGTAATATAAATATTTTGAAATGTTCTGGACAGCAACAAATTTTTTTGGATTATTTGGATTGCTCACTAAATGTTATTAATCATTTTTTGACTATAGTATAGGGATTCTTAATTTTTTTGAGTTAGACTTAAGAGAACGCTATTATCTTGCATTTTTTTGTCCTCGTCTTATACACGCGTATGATATAGTACATTTTCATTCACTGGTTTTAATAGTGTTATTTTAGTTTAGATATTAGATTGAATTGAATTATCATAACACTTTTAATGTAAGAACATTATTTGAGCTTAAACGTTGAAATTTATTCAATTTTTTTAATTTCAAGTGAAATATGACTATTTGATTTATGATATTTCACATATTATGTACCCACAATAACTTGCTTAAAAATTAGAATATCGAACAAATTGACAAAGCTTAAGCACCGTTAATCTTCTTATACTTATAAGTTTAATAAGTTAATTCATTCTAATATCTATAAAAACTAACTGCACACAATTGAAACTAAAGAACGGAAATGTAGTACTATATGTCGTACATTTCAACGTCTGTAAGATGGAGGAAATATAAATGATAGGTATTTAAGTTATAATAAAAAATGTTCTCTATTGAAGACCTAGTAGTGACTAAAATTATTGTAATTTAAATTAAAAATATATAATTTAAGTAAGGCAGTTKTATTTAAGAAGGAAATACGTTGTGTTACATATAGTGGACAATTAAAATAGCATTGATTTTTTTAAAGCTAATAAGTATCCAATTACACATTAATGATATTTGCCATTTTTTTAGTAACCAACATTTATAATTTTAAAGAAACCAATCCAGAAATTATAAATTAGATACAATATTATATTGATTAGGTAGGAACCTAAAAGGCTGCTGATTACTTTTTATATGTATTATTTATAAAACTGTACTTATAACTTATAAGTTATAACTTAGATACCTATAATAGTAATTAAGTTTAAATATTAAAGTTGATAACACTAGAAAAATATTACAAAAATAGAATCTGATATTATAATATTATATATATATATATATACTGTGAAAAGTATAAGTAACTACCTACCCACTCTTGTCTAAATTAAGAAATAATTCAAATACAGAAAATATAATATTTAGTTTATCTTTCAATAACAGACTCATTTATTCTGGTCGTGATGATCAATTGGAGCCAAACGAAGGTCAAATAACCTTATATGTTTACTTAATTAGTAAGTATTACATGTAGTTATGATTTGCTTGTACTTTCTTATTATGCTGTGTCTACCATGAATCATAACCAATTTAACATTTACAGATTAAAAATAAATGTATATATACATATATAAAAGGATATATCCTTTTAAGCACCTTAAAGAAAAAAATATGACTATCATTTTATTTACATAATGACTAAATTACCTAAGGAGGCAAAAATTGTGTTGGAAATTTGAAATAGTTTCGTAATTTATTGTTTAAATTGCTTGGAGGATAAACATTGTCCATATATTTATAGATAACCAATAAGTTCTAATTTCCTATTTCATAAATACTTACCAAGATACCTACCTATATAAATGGCTATATTATATATATATATAGGTTTCTACAATTCACAATTACAATAATATATAAAATGTGCTATTAATATTTTAAGTCTTAACATGATTTAATAATATATATTACACACATATGCAGATATTTTTAATAATTTTTTTTCTTTATGATCAACACATGAAAAAAGCCGTTACATTTTTTAAGGGAATGTCAGTGCACCATTTGTTTCTTCAAACTCGTGCGCAATATTGCAAATATACGTCTAGCAGAACCAATTCTCTGCTTTTATTTATAACATTAATTAATATTAGAGTAAATTCACCTATTATAAAATATTAAGCTAAAAATATTAATCGTGTCACTACGTTGAATTTTTTACGATACCTATTTTAATATTTATGCAATGTGCAAGCATTTTTAAATTGTTATATTTTGCATACTCAAAACTTACATACACATTACAATATCTTAATAATAATTAGTTTATACGATTTTGTAACCCAATGGCCTATGTGGCTATGTCGCAGAGGATATATTTCGTTTTAATAATAATAATAATAATAAAAAAATAATAAAAGTTTAATAGCCAACTTAGTGAAATAGGTAATGTTCTTAACTTAAATGTTGATATCTAATAGGTAAATTTACTGCAGCATTAAAAGTAACTAGGGTTGGTTTTGCTGAGTGTAAATTGTAATAAAGTAATCAAGTTTGCGAAATGATAAATAAAGACAATACTTAATTATCAATTAAGCTAATTGTCTTGAGTAAATGAACCTGAAACTGCCCATCCATGTAATTTGTGAGATTCAATGATTTTATGGTTAGTGTAGAGGACCGTAGACTTTTATGGATATCTATAGTTATCGGTAAATATTTACATAAATCTAAAAAACTGAASTGTAGGGATTAGACAGCACTTTAATCGTATTTCTTTGTTTCATTTAACTAAAAATTTAGAGCAGGTTGTATAATAAATAATAACTAATAACTATAATATTAAAATGATATTTTTTTTCTACATAATATAATTTTTCTGCTACCTAAGTATTATATTTGATACCTTATTCCGTTTCGTATATATGTTTTAATACAAATATTTGAAATAAGAAGTTAAAATTAGGAGATGCTGTTTAAATATTTATTGAAGTTTAAAATAATAAAGCCGGAGAACTCGTTCAACTGTATTGTAAGTTGTGAGTGTACTTCATCATTGAGTACCTATTACTTAGTACTATAGTAAGAGTTACTATAGTAATGATGTGTTATTATAATCTATGATAAATAATTGTATATCTACGAATAAACAATTTTAAGCAAAAGAGACTGATGGATCTTCAGCATTCAGTGTCTAGGTTCCTACCATTTCTTATGATAATTATATTTTGTTTGTTATAACTGGGTATATTATTAATATTGCTATTGTTCTTTTAATTATTGATAGGACAGTACCAAATTAGGTTAAGCTAATTTTCACCAAAAACGTCGCTTATATTTACCTAGGTATCTAACTTCAAATTTACACAGAATTATATTATATATATTGATTAAAAATTTCAAGAATCTRCGATTATTCGTTTTTGATTTGCACGAAAAAAACAAAATTGATCATCAATGTCAACACTTGTTTTTTTTTACTTATTTATTAAAGAAAATTATAATAATTGCTAAAATTTACAACATTTATATATATAAGAATATAACCTTATGTTGCCTTCTACCTACATTATACGTAATTTAAAACTACTAAAACTATAAGCTTCTAATAATGAATTTGATTATAATATTAAGCGTTATATCAATATATTACACATTTTAAATTGCTGATACTAATAATATTACCTACTATAAATATATTTTTTTTTGTTAAGAAATATGTCTTTTTAAATTACTTTGATACATTTTGACGATTATTTAAAAATATTGTGACGTATTTAAGATTTACAGCCAGAACCTTGGCCAATACATCTTTAACGAAGGCCCACCTCGCCCAAAAAACTGCRAGAGAAAGATTAATAAATAGTTACCTACGGTTTTATTAGTTCAATGAATATAATATTATAATATAGAAATAGTCGTATATATGAGAACATCGCCCACTTAAGAAGAGAGTGTCGTTCATTTCTAATGAACTATAGTGTATGATGAGATTATAAAACATGGTCTCTTGCCTCCAACAGACATCGTTTTTTTAAATTATCAAGTACACACGCAGGAAAACAATGGATTATAATCAGACCCACATGGTTGTATATGATTATTATTCATTTATATTTAAAACAAATGAGGCAATTAGCTTTTTTGGTGATACATTATACTTTTTTTAAACTATTCAAACACAGCACATAAATGTCCTACTCTCAGATTTGTTTTTTCTTCTTTAACAGTAAATGGACGCACTGGATTAATGTTTAAATCAATTGTACTTCAATATAAGTACCAACCTATAGTAGTATTTATAAAGGTTTATCAGAAAATAGTATTTCGTTTCTTATTAATTGTTTTTTATAGGTATTATAAAATAATAAAGTATTTGGGTTTATCATTATATGAAAATATATATTAGTCATATATATCAGTAGCAAATGTTGCAATATATTTTTATTTTTTTATTTATTTATTTTTTTTTTGGGAGGGGGTTGGTTATAGCAATATAATAAAATATATAATAAATATTTTTTATCTATTGTGTCTAAAAATATTATTTGAAAGAGGTTACGCCCTTTACCCTATGAATAATCAACCAATMATAAGTATGTAGATATTTATTACATACCTACTGTGTAAACACTATCAACTATAATTTACAGCAGTCCTTGAAGTTTTTTAGAAATGTAAGATTAGTAAAAACATAATATCAAGTTGTACTAAATATCCTGCAGATAATTATGTGTATAACTTTAACTGTATCTTTTTGGCTATAGAAAATATACATTTCTTAACGGTTAATTAACT